AGTGCATGGATGCCCTTGGAATGCAAAATGGTAAAATACCAGACTCTGCTATTACAGCGTCAAGTGCAGCTAATGCCGTTAGCTTTGCTCCGCACATTGGCAGACTTCATTTCCTCAGTTCTGGCAGTGGCAAATACGGTAGCTGGGCTGCGGGCGCAAACAATGCTGAGCAGTATTTCCAGGTCGATTTTGGAGGCTGGACGCAAATATCAGCCGTAGCCACCCAAGGAAGGCAGGATGCTGCCCAGTGGGTAAAAACTTTCAGCCTTTCATTCAGCTACGATGTTGTCTTTTGGCAAACAGTCCTAAATGAAAATGACCTAAAGCAGGTAAGAACCTAACAGTATAGATTTCTACCTTGGTTTTCTAGGCATTGTTAATTCTGTCGCTCAGAATTCTTTTTCGTACAGATTCGCATTCGAAAGTCCCAATCTACTAATTAACTGAGTTAATAAAAGAAATTATACGAAACAAATCACTCTTGCAATTTAAATGTTTTATACAGGTTTTTGTTGGAAATTCTGACCAGTTCACACCAGTAAGGAACTCACTTTATAAACCGATTATAACGCGGTTCATCCGCATTCACCCAGAATCATGGCAGTCCCATATCTCCCTGAGAGCAGAATTTTACGGCTGCAAAGAAGGTAAAATGTTTATTTTAAATTTTTTTAACTGAAGATTCGTTGACTGCGTTATGAGTTTTCCATCGGCGCTTTTCAGTGTGTTGTGTGCAAATTTACCAGTATTTGCCTTGTAGAAACTACATTTAAGTTTGTATCTCTTGGAAAAGTATCAAAAATTTTTTTAACGTGGTCATTTGCCGTCCGTATTAATCTTTTCGATTCTTAACCCATTCAGTCCCAAGATCTCATTAGTAATTCTCCTTACTCTGCCATACAATTCTTACGATGTTAGTTTGGAGAATTTAGCATGGTATGAACTAATAATCCCCAAATTGTTGATATTTTTCTTTATTCTTCTTTACTGGTCTGCTAAATATTATGTTGATGTTATAAGGAGAAAATCTGTCTTAGTCACTTATGGGAGTTCAGTGAAAAGGTTAATCATCCTCATTCTTCTTAAAGTCCCTATTCACCCTCAGAGGTTTTTATATATTTCGATTCTTTGCGTTATCAGGATTGATCTCCAAAAACATTTTTTTTGATTGATTAAATATTTCCCGAGATATGCCGCCTCAAAGTTCGTCCTTTGGCCACGCCCTTTTGATTTGGCCGGACTAAGTTAATATTGGTAACTAAAAGTCCCTCATGACGTCACAGCAAGAATGTCTTTCGATCGATGTGCCTACATTCACTTGAACATGCCTTTAGACGAATCTGGTGTATTTGAGCAACCAGCGACCACGCAACGAGTCGGCATCTTCACATCATTTTACGGCAATAGACTCATCATGTTCTTATACAAGAAGTTAAAATTCGTTCTTGCTGTGACGTCACTCGGCCCAGTAATTCTCTCCCGGCCAAGTCAAAAGGGCGTGGCCAAGAGAGTAATTTTGAGGCGGTTTGTTTTTTAAGAGCAGCAGTCGCCCCACCATCCACCCCAGCGTGACTATTTGTATCCAGGGAATTCTACTTGTAGCAACCCCCATAGAGAGGAATTGTCTTATCTTCTGTTTTGCCGATGGCTTAAAAGTGTTGCCTGAATGATAATCGGGAATTTAAAAAATCCCGCGTGTATTTTGCAGCTGATGCCGCAATTGTTCCAATATGGTCTCCTTCGGTCATTTTTTTTGTCCTTGTTTTTACCAAATTTGATTCTCTTTTTTGAATTCGTAATTCATGCAAAGCATCCTTGAAAGTTATTGGAACAACTGTTTTCGGTCGGATGTGAGATAACTCCTTTGTTGACCTTTGCAAAGGGCAACTGACCTTTGCGGGAAATACTGGAAAGTGTTTTGAGCAATTGCTAAGGGGCATGCAATTATTTTTCAATTTTTTAAGACAATAGAATGACTCGAAAGAAGCTGCTTCATTGAAATGATTCCCAGCTTTTTTCGCTCTTAAACTTGATCAAAGAATTTCCTGCATATCTTTTACAATCGGCTTCGTCATTGCCGTACGTCTGTTCACGTGCAGAATACGTTAAAATGTGGCAAGAACAATGCTATTTATGTTCTTACCGCATTTTGATGTTTTCTGTGATCTACTGAACACACGCACGGCAACATGGTATCTACCAATATTTGTTTTCTATAATATATAAGCAAAGTGTTGTTAATGATGATGAGGTGTATGCTTCTATCTCCAATTGTTCATAAGTGAGAACCACTCAATTGCAAAATGCGTGTGTAATTAAGATTATCATTTAGTATAATTTCAGAGCTGAGCAAAGAGTTTCCAGCAATCTGATTGGTCGAGCGGTTCCTTATATGAAGCTCTATAAACCGCTCCACGCGGTTTATATAAAATGTTAAAATAAAATGTTAATAAATGTTACTAAAATGTTACAGGAGCCCATTACCCGGAGCTTCCATCTCAGTTGTACCCTTGAGTCAACCCTGTCCCGTATCTTTTTATTTTTAGAACTGAGATATTTGCGGGGGTTGTTTAATCTTTCCGCGCTTTCCGCCATTATTGAAATAATTTCGTGCGGCCTGCAAGTGACACAAGAGAGACGTAACACAATAGAGACGACAGCTCTCTTATGATTGGCTATTATAAATATACCAGCGAAACCGCCGTGGAAGGTGCTTCTAAAAATAGAAAGATACGGGACAGGGTTGGCTTAGAGGGTCAGTAGGGAAGATGGAAGCTCCGGGTAATGGGCTCCTGAATATTATGATTTTAGAAATTTCTCTGTTGTTCAGCTCTGAAATTATACTAAAACAATTATTCGCCGAGACTTCGTCTCGGAGATTATTCCACGATAGTCACCTCGCCTTCGGCGAATAATTGTTAATAATCTACTCCTATGTACAGGGTTCCCAGTACCAACACCACCAAAGTGCATGGATGCCCTTGGAATGCAAAATGGTAAAATACCAGACTCTGCTATTACAGCGTCAAGTGCAGCTAATGCCGTTAGCTTTGCTCCGCACATTGGCAGACTTCATTTCCTCAGTTCTGGCAGTGGCAAATACGGTAGCTGGGCTGCGGGCGCAAACAATGCTGAGCAGTATTTCCAGGTCGATTTTGGAGGCTGGACGCAAATATCAGCCGTAGCCACCCAAGGAAGGCAGGATGCTGCCCAGTGGGTAAAAACTTTCAGCCTTTCATTCAGCTAGGATGTTGTCTTTTGGCAAACAGTCCTAAATGAAAATGACCTAAAGCAGGTAAGAACCTAACAGTATAGATTTCTACCTTGGTTTTCTAGGCATTGTTAATTCTGTCGCTCAGAATTCTTTTTCGTACAGATTCGCATTCGAAAGTCCCAATCTACTAATTAACTGAGTTAATAAAAGAAATTATACGAAACAAATCACTCTTGCAATTTAAATGTTTTATACAGGTTTTTGTTGGAAATTCTGACCAGTTCACACCAGTAAGGAACTCACTTTATAAACCGATTATAACGCGGTTCATCCGCATTCACCCAGAATCATGGCAGTCCCATATCTCCCTGAGAGCAGAATTTTACGGCTGCAAAGAAGGTAAAATGTTTATTTTAAATTTTTTTAACTGAAGATTCGTTGACTGCGTTATGAGTTTTCCATCGGCGCTTTTCAGTGTGTTGTGTGCAAATTTACCAGTATTTGCCTTGTAGAAACTACATTTAAGTTTGTATCTCTTGGAAAAGTATCAAAAATTTTTTTAACATGGTCATTTGCCGTCCGTATTAATCTTTTCGATTCTTAACCCATTCAGTCCCAAGATCTCATTAGTAATTCTCCTTACTCTGCCATACAATTCTTACGATGTTAGTTTGGAGAATTTAGCATGGTATGAACTAATAATCCCCAAATTGTTGATATTTTTCTTTATTCTTCTTTACTGGTCTGCTAAATATTATGTTGATGTTATAAGGAGAAAATCTGTCTTAGTCACTTATGGGAGTTCAGTGAAAAGGTTAATCATCCTCATTCTTCTTAAAGTCCCTATTCACCCTCAGAGGTTTTTATATATTTCGATTCTTTGCGTTATCAGGATTGATCTCCAAAAACATTTTTTTTGATTGATTAAATATTTCCCGAGATATGCCGCCTCAAAGTTCGTCCTTTGGCCACGCCCTTTTGATTTGGCCGGACTAAGTTAATATTGGTAACTAAAAGTCCCTCATGACGTCACAGCAAGAATGTCTTTCGATCGATGTGCCTACATTCACTTGAACATGCCTTTAGACGAATCTGGTGTATTTGAGCAACCAGCGACCACGCAACGAGTCGGCATCTTCACATCATTTTACGGCAATAGACTCAT